CCCCCCCCCCCCCCCTCCCCACGTGAAATGGATCACACCGCGTAGTACGAAGGGTTGACGTACAAGCTTAAGCTGGTATTCCCGGAGACTTACCCGTACAAGGCACCGCTCATCACCTTCGAGACCCCCTGCTTCCACCCGAACGTGGACGAGCACGGCAACATCTGCCTCGACATCCTCAAGGAGAAGTGGTCGTCGGCCTTCAGCGTCAGCACCATCCTGCAGTCTCTCCGATCCTTGCTAGCCGGTGAGCGTTTCATCTTGTCAAGCCGCTGCTGCTGTGTCTCTTCTGACCGTATGAGGTAGAGTAGAGGGCCCTGTTTACGATGGGCCCAAAGATTTAACCGGCACTGGTATGTATGTCGGACACCGGCACACTAGTCAACAGTACATAATGAATTGGGAATTGTGTGTGCCCACCGAAAACACGGGTACTGTACCGGCAACCGGCACTAGACAGGGACCTCTACAGCAGCTGTCTTGGCCAGTTTTTTCTCCGTTTGGCTGTACGGTGAACCGCGTGGCTTGGGGGTTTGAACCGGGGCTTTGCGACCCGGCCGGTCGTTCGCTTGCCTTCCTTCGCTGAGTGACTCTCGACGTAGTCTCGTTAGACCTCGAAAAGCACGCAAGGAGTTCTCCCACGCCTCACGGTCCCGAAACCCTCCTTTACCGGTCAAGTCAAGCGGGTTGCGTCGGCCTGTACGTGGGTCTAACTATCCTCAACATGACCGCCCCTTGTGTTTGGTTACAAACATATCTAACCAAGTTGGTAAGGCGCCCGCTCTATTTTCATGGCAGAAGGAACCGACCACGGGAGGTTCGAGTCGGTGATTTTACTCACGGTTCCCGGAACGGTCCAAGGGGTAGCACGTTGGTAGTGCTTGAAATTGTTCCGAATATTGGCCTGGTTGTGTTCCATGCGTGAACGTCACCGTTGAGCACAAACCATGCCTTCTTATCCCTTTCTCTGACGCAGATCCCAACAACGAGAGCCCCCTCAACACAGAGGCGGCGCAGCTGTGGGCGGATCAGGACAAGTACCGACAAGTTTGCAAGCAGAAGTACCAAGAGGGCGCGGGGGAAGCCTAATGATGGATGGGGTCAGGTGTCGGCGTTGCCGGCCGTGTTGTCTCTCACGAGAATTGGTCCTGGCAGGCATGTGCTTGCTAGCTAGTGCTTGCCGCATTACTCCTCTCGACAAGAGCCTGGGCGGCTTGCTCGCACCTTCGCAGATTTTTGCACCATTTCCCACCTCTTTCTCACTAAAGAGTGTTGCCGAAGACGTGTAGCAGCGGCGGCAGTGTACCAGTGTACTAGGCACTTCCAACGTGCGTGAAGGAGTGAAACACGACGCGTGCGTGTGTTGTACCTGTGATTCGTTACGCACCTGGTGCGTTTTATGGGTGTACACCGCTTTGCGGACAGCGGCAAGGGTCGTGTGTCCATGATTCCTTTTTCAAGTGTATCGGTATCTTGTTGTCTGGAGAGTCGTCACGAGTGGTGTTGGCTTCGTCCGAAGGACATTGCTGCGCGTCACGTCTTCGCCACTATCGTTATCATGAACAGCTTTCTGTGCGTGCCCCCAAGTTCTTCTACAGCTGGTAGTTCAGTCTGGTTGAAGAAAGAGCGCGGTCGCTTCAAAGCCGAAAGCGCCAGCGGGTGTGTTATTTTATCTTATTGTCATGTGTGCGCGCGGGGGTGGTCTCTCTTGGACGTGGATGGCAGAGGAGTCTGGTAGCAATTGCGTCGTTTCATGGCTGCTGTCGCTTGTATCTGTTTACTCGTTCTTTGTGTCGGTCACGCCCAGCGAAAATCTGTGTGCTTGATTACAACTACTACAGTTGGTGGCCCGATATAGTGCCGGTTGAATAGTGCCGGTTGCCGGTATAGTGCCGGTGTTTTCGGCCTGCACACACCGGAATATCAAGTCTTTCTGTACTCTGAATAGTGCCGGTGCCCGGTATAGTGCCGCTTTGCTCTCTGAACACATACCGGCACTATAGAGGGCCCCCTACTGTATTCTTGTCGGCGTTCTGCCTGATAGTTGTGTGAGAATCTTACGTTGTACGTTCAGCTCGTCGGTGACAACTGGATGGTCTGACTTACCCTTGGTACAAGCCGGAGGCCAGGTTTCCTCGTTTTTCTCTCTGTTGAGGGCTGGATTAGCAGGTTGACCAACTGCTTCTTTGACTTTTCCCCGTGTAGACGATGTTAATTTAGGTACATAGCGGCGAAGGTCTTGGATAGACGATTGCTTGTTTTTGGAAATTGCTGGGTTCTTGGTTTGTGAAGGATGGCGGAGGTTGGACATGGTGCCATCATCAGGGGATACATACGCACAGGGCTATTTTGATAGCGTAGCTTGTACAAATCAACGAGAACATTATGATCGCCGGACGTTTGGTGCGTGTTGCAGAAGATGCGTTGGCTGGTTTGTTGCTCAAGAGCTATCATACGAGCGCAGTAACCATGGGTTTGTGTTCCGAAGAATCGCATGTATGTCACGTGCTCGAATATCCCGAGCGTAGGTTGTGCACCAACCAGCACAACGGGTCACCCCGGCAAATCATTGTGCGATTTTGTAATACCTTCTTGCTACTTGTGAGCAATGGGTGACGATATATTCATGACGCTTTCAGCAATGGGCGATGATACATCGTACCCCCCTGCACGTAGTTCAGCAGGTACGATGATGGCGGACTGCTCGTCTACATCTAGGGTCTAGAAGACAGGAAAATAAATGCGTCGTTTAGACGTCGTGGAGCAATGCACCACATTCATGGGGGAACTATCCTGTAACCGCGGATGATTCCCTTCCACCTGCGTCACATTCACTCCGCACGTAATGTCTTGCTACAACCCTCTACCCCCTACCCCCTCTGCTCTCTCTCCTCGGTCGTGTGTCTTGGATGTTGTGTGCAGTACCGCTGTGTCTCCTTCAAATAGTAAAATGGTAGTATTTCCCACAAGAAAGACGAGCGTGCGTGTCTACTTCTTAATGGGCAGCTTCTTCTCGCCCTCCCTGCTGCTGTGTATTCCCCCGGCGCATTCCGTCGCGATTAATATTATCTTGGGTCCCTTCCTATACGTCTATGATAATGTAGACACATACATGTACTTGTTCCTCTTCGTATGTATCCTCCTGAGGGTATTATCCTGGAACTTGTGCCAGGTTTACAGCCTTCGACTAGAGTTAAGCGAAAAATCGTACTCTTAACGGAGTGAAGAACAGGAGTTCTTGTAACGAAAAACCACATTCTTCGAAACCCGTCCTCCTCCGCCCACTAGCAACCACACGGCAACTTACCCCGAAGTCCATCGCGTCCGCCCACAAGCACTACTGCTGTAGTTTGTTCTCGAGAATCCGAAATCGTTCTCAAAATCATATAATCTAAGGATTCCGAGCCGAACAAGCTGCCAGCTGCCGACCAGCCTGATCTCCGTAGATGGATTCATTGCCACTCTATCTTTTCTATCTTAGTCGAGATGGATTTGTTGTGTGATGTTAAAAAAAAAAAAATCCTTGACACGCCACACCAACAATCGAACGGATACGCTATGAAAAACTTCGAAGAATAAAAAAAAAAAAATATTTTTTCGATAAAAAAAAATCCACGCATACAACTTGTTTCCTCTCGCCCCGCCCCCTCTCTCTCATTCGGCACAAAACACCTTCCGCAAACCCCCGCCACCTGCGCTACTGCTGGCAAAAATATCGCACCCACCCCCGTTCTGCTACTCAAGCCCGAAGATGCTGAAAGGTGAGTGAGGGGGACAAGCTCTCGGGGATACGGCGGTCGGCATTTGGTTGGGAATGGTCGTCTAGACCACCACACAGAGAGTTTGACCAAGAATCAAGAAATCAGGAGCTTCTGTATGTTGTCGGTATGCACGCATACGGCAATGCTGATCTTCATCCGAGACAAACGGCGGGCGAAGCCTACCATCAAACGGCGATTGCCCAAGAGGCAACTCAGCAGAGGTGAACCAAAAGCCATCCTGTTTGCATCCCGTCTGATGACCACATGGAGCAAAAACATGGGTGACCCACGCGCACCCGCCCGGCTGATTGTATCTACAACAGATTATATGTTGACAGGAAGCCTCTTGCGATCTACTGTACTTGGAGCGGGTGGCGGGCAAACTTGGTCAACCAATGGTATCCATACATCCCACACCCAGTCAGTCGGGGGTTATCTCTAGGCCCCGCGCTGGAGGCCGCCTATGTAGACCGCGCGGCCGCCGGAATTCAAGATTGGTGAGCGCAGCATCACAGACAGCAGTTCGTTGCACCTGGGATGCGCTCATCATTTAGCACACAAGGATCAAAGCAAGGCATGGTTTTTGGACGCGAACAAATAAAAATGAGGGACGACCCGAGGATATTTTACTAGCTGGACGACAGGGTTCTCTTCTCCCCTCTTCCCAGCTGTCGATCGGATCGCAACTTGTTACCCACCCGTTGGTCGATTGAGTGACCTCGGGCCGCGCGGGCAAACTGCTGCAACTATCAGCCTGTTGCCCGCCTTGGTCGGACACACTCGTGGCGTGAAGTGCGCTCTCACTCTCCCTGAGCGGACGGGAATGGTGTGGCCCTCTCTCTCTCAGAGCGATAAAAATATGCCGAAGGTAATGCGCCTCGATGCACACCAACTGCCGGAGAGGCTTCACTACTTTACTCACAGTAACCGCCGTGAAACTATTCGCTGTTCCAGCCATCGAGTGGTAGATACGTTGGACAGGTTGTGCACTCGGAAATTTTTCTCTATCCTTGTGAGCGTGCTCGTAAGCCGTTGCATAGATGGATAGACGGGGGAAACTTTGGACGAAGCTCTCTGGCGACAGCTAGCTGTGGATCCTTGCGTCATGTCTTGCGTGCCTCCGAATGTGCAATCAGATTTGTACATTCGTGATCAGGCCGGACGGACAATCCATCCAGCAAAAACGAATGCTTGTCACCACGTGGTTTCCCACCGGTCATAATCATCACCCCGATCTCAGATAATAATTCGAACGCTCGTGTAAGTCGCCAATGGGCGAAAGAAGCAGTGCACTCTTCCTCCAGCCTGCTTGTTGCGCACAACAACTTTGCCCCAACTGACCACAGTGCGAATACTACAAGAATTTTCTAGTACAATTCGTTCTCATTTTTCGCACAACACTACACAAGAGTTGGTGCAGGTCGGAACGATGTCGAGTACATGGATGGCATGTGTGGGGCCTGCTGCTGTTTTTTTTTTTGCTCCAAAACATTAACAAACATCGGGGTATCTGTTGTTGGCCCGACCGACTGGGGTTGATTCATCATGTGGTGATGCACGATAGATGTTGTAGAGATCGGAACGGTTTTTTATGTAAAAACAACATTGACTGCCGACTCCTAGGTTTATGTGTGTACTGTATCCGGATTCTGACTGACTGCTTCGTGGGAGTACGCATGGTTTTACATTTCTAACGAGAATTATCTCAGTCCAGGGTACCACCCCGGACAACAAGCGGACAAGAAAATAACCTCCTCCCCTCCAGGTGCCCCGGCTGGCGTCTGAAAATATATGAATAAATGACGGATCCCGCGCAACGAAAATCATCCTGTGTTTTTTTATGTAAAAACAACAACATTGACTGCCGACTCCTAGGATTATGTGTGTCTATTGTATCCGGATTCTGACTGACTGCTTCGTGAGAGTACGCATGGTTTTACATTTCTAACGAGAATTATCTCAGTCCAGGGTACCACCCCGGACAACAAGCGGACAAGAAAATAACCTCCTCCCCTCCAGGTGCCCCGGCTGGCGTCTGAAAATATATGAATAAATGACGGATCCCGCGCAACGAAAATCATCCTGTGTTTTTTTATGTAAAAACAACAACATTGACTGCCGACTCCTAGGATTATGTGTGTCTATTGTATCCGGATTCTGACTGACTGCTTCGTGAGAGTACGCATGGTTTTACATTTCTAACGAGAATTATCTCAGTCCAGGGTACCACCCCGGACAACAAGCGGACAAGAAAATAACCTCCTCCCCTCCAGGTGCCCCGGCTGGCGTCTGAAAATATATGAATAAATGACGGATCCCGCGCAACGAAAATTATCCTGTGTACTTTCTAATAATTATCTACCGCCAGCAGCCTGACAAATATGATGACACGACACCTTGTTTGGTTTTTCCTCGTCCAACACCCGATTTTTCGTAGTGGATGATCGTGGCGGCTTTGCCAACAACCCATTTATTATTTCGAGTACCGAAGTCCACGAATAAGACAGGCTGAAATGAAAGCCTTCTTCTCCACTTGGAAACAACCGGCTGGACGTCGTCGAGGTCTCGCCTGGGGGCGGGGGTGTTCGCGAATGAATGTTGCTGGTGGTTCTTTGCCAGAATTTTCGTGGGCGGGGCATCGGGCGCGTGCGGCACGTTGCCCTGTTGCAACGCATTATTGGTATTCCCCAGAGCAAGCGCAATTCATTGATCAAGACAAAGAGGGCGTGCCGACGCAGAAGCACGAACGAGTAATTCTGTGGTGGCGCCGGGAAATGATAATTATTTGCTTAAATCGAGCCTCTCTTCAAATGTCGGTATTTTCACGATGATAGCAACTTCTCACCAGCGGGTGATTTCGGGCTTTTGGCCTTCGATTGTACCGTGAATTTGTTTATTGTTGTAAATGTGCGTGGCGCCCACAACCGGGCTTATGGCACAGGGATGCGCCACAGATGCAAATGCAACAGAGAATAAATAGCACGGACGGGTTGTTCTTGTTGCATTTCCGCACCTGCCGGGTTCCTGGGTGTTACCGCACGCACGCGGTGCCATATCAATGATATAAAACCTGTGCAGGACGTAAGTTCCATGCTCCCGCGAAGTACCCGTATTGACTACCCTACGGCAAGGCACTCTTATGTCACGAAGGGCTGGGAGATACCAACTGATGCCCAATTTAATTTTTGGGCATGTTTAGATATGGGGCCGTCGAGGTAGATACGCGTAGAAATGAACCAATTCTTTTTTTTACGCATGTTAAGACTATTATATATAGTTGTACGATCGCAACAACCCCGTCCCATTTTGTAACACGCACAAACAACCCGCCGTACTGCCACCTGTTACATCGTTCGGTGATGCTCGGAAGAGTTTTCCTTCCGGCGCGACTGGCTGTGAGAAAGATGCGGCTCCCTTCGGAACTGCTTTGATGAGACATCGCAAAAACAACGATGATGTGACGCGATAGGTTTGTTTTTTTATCTCCTCCCACACAGAATACCGTACAAATAGATGTTTTGGAATCGCTCTTCTGCCGTTCGTTGCTGTTTGCCTCAGCAGGGACTACGCTGTTTGCGGTTGCGGCGGCCGGGCTCCTGAATGTCGCCGTCTCGCAAGAGTTTCCCGCAATGGAGTTCGTGATCCCACTGTACATCGCTCCGATGTTCGACAACGGCACCACCGGTGAGTGCCCGATATACCTCCTTGGGGTTAAAATGATTTTTTTTTCCGTGACTTTTCCACTCCTTTCGCTTCGCCAGCGAGCAGCGCTCTTTTTCAAACATCAGTGGAAAGAAGTTCCGTCACTTTGTCGAGTCACTTGAGGAATGCTATCGTCGGTTGTAACGCCCACATCAGTCAAGAATCAAGGCTGACGTTGATGTTGCTGGATGTTACGGGATTTGGCATTCGGCAAGCAGACTATTTGTCAAGTTCCGAGATGTATCTGCGTATGGGAACCTCCAGGGTGGGCTAGTGTTATGGGATTTGAATGTGTAGGAAAGTACCAACCGTAGTGCGGGCTAACGCCTAAAGGAAAGCGCAGGAGATACAACTCCCGATTGAAGGATAAAAGCAGGGGACAGGACTTTATAGCCCCTGTCAGAAGGGGCTGGTCTGCCCCCACATGCTCAGTCACCACAGAGAGCAAGGAATCAGCATGCACTGCTATCCAAATAGATGAATCAGCAAGTGAGTCTTCACCAGGGTCTTCAGGGATTGCTGCGCGTGTCTATAACATTACATGAAGCCATGAAGGCCACTCCCCGCTCTCTCTCTCTCCCCCTCCCCCTGTACCTTAAAACTATCGGCAAAGAGTGTCCTCCGCCCGTTTCAACTTTTTCATACCAGGAGTGTTTTGACACCACATTTGATGAGGGACTTTTTTGACCCGTTGAATGTATGTACTGAACTATCAAATGGCAGTCAATACATGTCTCCGCAGTGAACGGGGGAGAAACCTGCTACAGGAAACGCGCCCGCGCTTAACTAGGCAGTTGAGAAACTGAACAAAACAAATATCCCGTTATACTGACAAGTTCAGCACTGTTTGTGAGCTGCAGCCTACTTTTATCTAGCACCCAGTCGAAGCCATGAGGCTTGGAACCAAGAACCCCAGCGTCTACCAAAACTAGAGGTTCCTATGCGAAGAGTGTCGATTTCTCCATTTGTCATCGAATCTTGTTTCCCGTCTTTTCTCTTTCCAATCAATCTGTTCGGTCGGTCCAGTCACGATTGACCCGCAGTGGACGGCGCTTGCCGAGACAGCGGCGACGGGTGCGACCGTGTTCGGGATCCTCAACCCGGCGAGTGGGCCGGGTGAGGTCACCGACACCAGCTACCCGGACGTGATCGATTACGTGAAGGACGCGGGAGCCAAGGTGATGATTGAGATATCATGTGCATGTGATGACCTGCAAGTTCCGTTAGTTCTTGGTGTGGTTGTGATAAATGGAGGTGTGATAACCTGAAAAGTGAAGCAAGTACCGTAAGGTTGGGAGCCACGTAGAGCACAGGGGTGCGAACGGCTTTCAAAGCGCAATTTTTTCCACAACCAGGAGGTTACCACCGTCGGGAAGGGCGGTTTTGCAAAATATCTCATCGAGAGCTTTCCTGACAACTACCAGTTGGCTCTCGCGCCCTCCTGGCTGCGGAGAAATAACGCTTTAAAAATCGGTGGCACCCCTGTGCTCTAGCTGACTCCCAACCTTATGTCAACTCATTTCGTGGTGTGTTTCTTTGGTCGGGATACGATGACGTAAGATGAGAGAAAGTAGGACGACGTCGTGTGAAGCGGCGTGCGGAAGAAGGCGCGGGATCACGGAGGTTTCGGTTGCTGTGTACGGTACGTTCATGGAGTACGTTTCGATTCTCGATATGTATGAACCACCATACCATGCTCTCACCCCAAGACAGCGTGCAGGCGAGTTGGGCTTGGCCCCTCTTGTCGCTGTCGGGTGTGCCAGCATGACGTGTCTTCATGCCAAAGATACCTGGAGAGAACGAGGGGGGGGGGGTATTCGGTCGGATAGAGTGCCACCCACCGCCGCATAGCGCGCATGGGCATACCGACGCGCTGCAGAAGGGTAAACCGACAGCGTGAAGCCCATGTTCGTGTGTGTGGGCTACTTGGCTGTGGTTGGTATTTGGGGTGTATTATTGCCCCCAAACACCTGCCCGGCCACCGCTTGAACGCGTGCGCATGAAGATGAACCGGCCGGTCTCGTGGGTGTCTTGGCAAGAAACACGGCATGACTCAGTTTTTGATTGAGTCACCCACGAGTCGCCACCCCTGACCGCACTCCGCTTCTCCTGCTGTTGCAACCACAAAAAAACTCGTGTGTAATTAATAGATGCTGTGCTACGTGGCGACGACGTACGGCAACAAGACCACGGACTCTGTGGAGGAGGAGATCATGGCCTACCAAAGCGTGAGAGAGAGTCCCCGGGGCTGGTTGTCGAATCGATATCTCTGTCGGTTGTTGTTCGCACTTCGCGGAATGGTGGATAGTCTATTAAGTCACCCAAGAGTACCTTTGATGGTATTGTGAAGGAATCTGTCTCGATTTTGAGAGTGGGCCTAATTACTCCCGCTGCCTTTGAGACGCCGAGCTTCTGCCTGACTGAAGAGTAATTTCGTCTTGCATCTGCAGAGCATTAATTCCCCCGTCTCTATTCGGGGGGGTGCACGGCCCTCGCGGACCGCCTTTGCCAGAAATTGAGGTTGGGGGTATGCAGACCCCATTCCTATCCCTCACCCCAACTTCCTCGGTTTCATACTACATACACCATGCGAATGCTACTGCCCGTCCCTAACGCCCCGACAAACTCTGTTTTGATCGTTCTTCCGTTCGTGCCCTCGCCCCATACCCCCCCCCCCCGTTCGTTCGAACGCCACCATTATAGCTGTACCCCGGTGCCTGCGACGGCATCTTCTTCGACGAGGCCCCGCACCTGCTCACCGATGCCGTCATCCTCGAGATCTACACGGCCCACAACAGCTTCGCGCACTCGACTCTCGACACCACCACCGAGGTGCGTGTGTGAGAGAGAGACAGCTAGACAGCTGGACAGGGGTTGGGCTCGGGGAAGCGAGGGGAAGGAGAAAGAGAAACACAGCCTGAGGCAGACCAGCCGCCCACCACGCTGCGTACCTCCAAGGCGGAGTCCCGACGGTTTTCGCGATTTTTCGTGACACTCAAGAGCAGTTTTGCATGCCTTCGTTGTAGACCATTGGCCGGAACGCGTGGGGGGGAAATTTTCGTGTTTCTTAGGCCTTCGGATTGGACGGGTTCAGCAGGCACGCTTCTCGAGAGCCCGGCCTGGCTCGCGGTGCTAGACCGGAAAGTTCCGGTTGTCTCTTGGCAGGGTTTTGACCCCCCCCCCCCCCCCCCCCCCCCCCCCCCCCCCCCCCCCCCCCCCCCCCCCCCCCCCCCCCCCACCNGGGTTTTCGTCGCTTAGCAACGACGTTGTAAAACAAGCCAATTCACTTCCGTGAACTCGGCAACCAGGGTACCGTTTCTTTTCTTACCTCTCTTTTTTTTTGGCGGTAACTATAGTGGTAGTCGAGTAGATCATGTTGTGCGGAGTGGAGAAGCCTCACTCCGCGCAAGGGGGATGATCGCACCACGTTGTGTTAAAATGGTCAAGCACCCTCGAGGGAGTTACACAGTGCTTATAACTGTCACTGTTGGTCAAAGCACCAGGAAATATATTAAGTCACACGCAGCTGTCATCCGTACGCAAGGAAGTAAGCACAAGATGTCGGAACACCCTTAGTAGGATGCAGCGCACCCTTCATGCGACTCGCTGAGTATCTCACGGCGCTTCGCGCTTGGTGATATGAGAGCCTGGTCCGGTGAGAACCCGGCGTGCTCCGTCCCGGCATTGTAGGGATGCGAGGTCAATGGTCTAACGACTAGGGCATGCACGACTACGAGTACACCCCCCCTCTCTCTCTCTCCCGCGGCGCCTTGCACCTTGCAGGAAGCTCGAGTCGTCTTCAACACCGGCCAGGCGGCAGACGAGCAGTACTTTTCCTTCTCGCCCCCGGCTGAGGTCTTGGGATACGAGAACTATTTCAAGGCGTGAGTTCGCGGGATACGTCCGCACGCTTTCAAGGGGGGGGCGACTGCCGTCGTCGTTCGTTTCGCGTGCTCATTGGGCGTTTTGTTGCGTGCCGTTTCTTGCTTCTCGTTGCCGTGATTATTTGACTGGCGATGTGCGATGCTTTACGGCAGCCGATAGAAGCGCGTTAATTTGCAGCAGGCCGCTCTACGAGCCCTACACTCGCGCCTTGGAGTTGGCAAGAAATTGTTCTTTTTCCATATATGAGCTCGTGCGCCGTGTTTCAACAACTTTGAGCTTGCACGGTCGTGTTTGGTGTTTTTTTTTGGCAGCGTAAGGCAGCTCGGAGTGCCGGAAACCAGCGACATCTCTACGCCGCCCCAGAACATGCTTCTCCTGCATAGCGCCACGGAGCTGGCCGAGAAGCCTGAGGTACGCCTACATATCACACCCATGAAGGGTTGAGTGTAAATGCATTCATTTCATACTGCGCTGTTCGTCTCTCATCATTTGTGGTAAGTCTCTGGCACCGTGTATGCCTTACCTGCCTCCTCTCTTGTGGTGTCCCATCACAACCTCCCCGCGCTTTACCGTCGCCACCTCCTTGCTCGTTCTCTCTCCGGCCGTCGAACCACGACAGCTGATCCAACCCTTCATGGACAAGGCCTACTGCAAGGGCTGGGGCACGGTGTACGTGACTGATGACCTCTTCGACGAGGTGCGTTTTGTTTTATACTCGTAGTCTTTGCTGTTCTTTTGTCTGCCGTCTGATGTACTCGTCGACGCCGCCATCGTCTTCGTCGCTTAATTAGTCACTGTTATTACCGTTGTCGTCATCGTTCCTATCGTCGGCCGTGTGCCTAAGAGTGTCTGTAGTCTCCAGCCCTGAGGATGTCCGATTCACGGCCTCGTCTCGTGTTCTTCGGCTGTCTTTGGCGGCTGCCCAGGGTGTCTGTTCCCAGCCCTGCGTGAAAACCTGGCCGACTGATGCCCTACAAAAAGAAAAATTTATTGATTTACCGTCTCGTGTTGACTCCTCCACAGGGCAACCCTTGGGACAACCCGCCGACCTTCTGGACAGCCTTCATCGAAGCCGCGAGGAACATCCCCACCGTGGAGTCGTGCGGGGACGGGGGCCTCAAGATCATCGCCCCCCTCCTCGGCAGCGATGACGCCGGTGAGTGGTAACACGGCAACTTACCTGGAATATTTTCGCTCTTAATTGTTTCAAGATATGTCTGCGGAGAATATCAGAGCATCCGAAGCCGCTGGCGAGTGATACCACGCCAACTTCCCTTAGGACTTCGCTCGGCGAAGCTCAGAAATAGTTCCTCTTGCATGTGTTTGTTCGCGGCCGCGAAGACTGCCGTATTGTTTGCAGAAGACGATAAAAAACTCGAGAGCTGTCACCGATAGGTCTCTCCGTACCGCCGTCGATGCTATCATATCGTTGACACACTCGGCGTGTACATACCCAAGGCCCTGTCATTTCTGGTTCTCGTGCGTTTTGTGGTATGGGGTGTTGATATTGTACCGTGTTCGGGGCGCAAACCAACGTATGTAGGTGAGCAATTCTCTACATCCACACGCGTCTTCTGCCGGCGAAAACCAACGTCGCTCTCGTCCCCCTGTCGTGCGTTCCTTTTTTTTTTTTTCACTCGTTGGCAGACACGGAGGCCATCATGGCGACCGCCGACCCGGGAGACTACGGCGACAGGATCATGGTCGCCATGAACGTTGAGATCACCGAGACCGGCGAGTCTACCGACAGGGCTGCCGCTGTCAGGGACGCCGGGGCCAAGGTAACGGGTTAGCACGAAATAGAGAACATTACATTGTATGGGCGTATGCAGACTCACGGAGAGCCCAGCATCCAGGCGGTTTCCCCCACACTCGATGCAAGGGCTGGATCCCCCCCTGCGGCTGCGGTAGTATTATCTTGAGCGGGCAATCGTCCCGTGGCAGTAGTACGTGTTCATCCCGGACTCTCATTTGTGGATAAGAGATGATTTCGTTGTGATGTTTTCGCACTCAATGACATGATACCCAAAGTGGGGTATGTGTGTCGTCGACTCGAACGGAGCACACGCACTCATCAACACTGACAAATCCCTCCGGGGCCGGCCGTATCGCCCCCATGCTGTCCGTCGCCTGTTGCTGGCGCTGTTGGTTGTCTGTACGCCTTTCTTCCCCGTTAGGTGCTCTGCTACATCGAGGCCGACAAGTACGGCAACGACCTGGCCACCCTCGAGGAGGTCGTGGAGACGTTCACCTTCTTCCCCCTCAACGAGATCTGCGGCGGGTTTTTCTTCGGGGCCTTCAACATCCTGCTGGCCATCGAGGACATGCCTGGCATGCAGTCCCTCTACCTCAAGACCCAGGTGCACGGGCGTTGTGGGAGGGTGGGGGGGGCGATGCAGATGGATGTATTATGCGGGGGGAAATCGGACAATCACGGAGTGTAGCCTAGGAGGGTACGGTTAACCCTATGGAACATGACCGAGCGTATTCACAACCACCCCTCTTACGACCCGTCACTTCGGTGCTCGCAACACGACCATGTCCTCGGAGCAGAAAACGTTCCTCCAGCCGACCGTGGTGTTCGCACCCGAGGTCCAGGATTACTCGGATGGCTTCGAATCGAGCTACAGCTTCAGCTACGACTTCGTGGAAGGTGTGATCGCTTCGTCTGTCTTTTATCTTTGTACCTCGTGCGTTCCCAAAGTGCGCCTGGTGGGCGATGAGTTGAGGCGCGCTCCCCTCTTTCAGATGACATGCGATAGGATGCTATAATGTTCGCGCTTTCCTACTGGGGGATGTACCCCAATGTTATGCGCATATCTTTTCTGCCTGTTGCGCCGCTTATTTGTATTTCAGGGTCCGCGCTCTCTTGTTCTGTTGTGCGCGTTTTGTTTTTCTCCCATCAACGTGTCGCGGTCGTACAGATGATGAGTGCGATCGATGCGAAAGTCTAACCTCTTTCCCTTTCTTGTTTTGCGCGCGCCCCGCCGCAACCAACCCTGTCGGGACCGGCTGCTGGGATTGCTTTGTGTTCTTCTCGCGGTTCGAGTCGATGAAGACGACTGGTACAGCACGAACAACTGGGACAGTACCACCAACTTCGAGCTCCCTTGGGAAGACGTTATGACCGAGGTCAGAGAGAGAGTTCGACGGCCTGTATTTTTTCCCTACGTTTTTTTTTTCCAGAACCGAGCTCGGAGCATCATTTTCAACTGTTTTCAACCCAGTTTTGTGTGCCACGTACTACATTCGACACGAAACCAAGCTTTGCCACCAGCACACGAACGTCCGCAGGAAACCTCGTTACTCCAACAGCATCGCCTTTATCACCTGTTGTTCAACTCCTCAAAACGGTACCAAATGTCTCATGTTCGATTTTCGTTAACTCTATCAAAGAGACCTACCATACACTCACCTCCCCCCCCCGTTCTTTCTCGACGAATAAACGCCACCGGCTCCGCAAGACTGACCTCGTTGCGCTGGCGGAGTCCCTCACCGTGGGGCTGGGTGACGGCGCCACTGCCGGCGAGATCGTGGTCGCAGAGGCTATGGACGGCGGCTCGATCATCCCCGAGGCCCCCGAGCCCAACGAGAGCACCGCCGCCCTCATCACCGGCTACGCCGGGGCCCCGGAGGTGGGAAGGGACTGGGGAGAAAAATTGGCGCTTGCGACGACGATGTTTTTGACGGCCTTTGCTGTGCCCTTGCGGTGACGAATTAGTCGTGCTTTATCATTGATTGAAATTTTTTCTTTTTACCTCTGTCCCGACACTTGCTTGCGATGACGATAAGCTGTGATTCCTCCCGGCTGCTGCGAAGCTATTTGGTTTCGTTCTCCGACAAGTGGCGCCTCTTTGGGCGTACGAAGAACGAGATAATAGAAAGCGTCGTCCCTCCCCGAAAGTGTCATGATGCGGGGCGCTTGCCTGCAAGCGCAAAGTATTGAACACTACTTTTCCTTCCCCCCCCTTGCGCAACCGCCCGGTTGTTTGACGTGCGCGAACCACCGCCGCGCAGGATGTGATGTTCGACCTGTTTACCAAAAACTGGGCCTACGGTTACGTGACGAACTACGACGACTTTGAGTTTCTGAGCACTCAGTGGTCCGCCGTCGTCGCCAGCGCTTACGACACGGAGAGCTTCGTTGAGATCGTCTAAAGATGAACGTACTAAAAACTCGCCCGACCGGGCCCGATTGCATGGACGAAAAAATGGCGACAGGGAGAAAGAGAGAGACGGCCGGCCGCCGGCAGTCAGAGCGTTGGCTACCGGAGTTCAAACCGCACGGCACTCGTTGGGTGAAGGAGCGCGTGTGACTGCTACAACCCGAATACAAGCCACACGAAACCCGGGGAAGAAGTGTTTTGAGTGTTTGGTTTGCCCTCTTCTTTTCCTCGGTAGAAGCGTCGTTCCCTTAATACACGTTTTGTTCGATGTTGCTGTTTTTTCTCTGTTCTGCTGAAGTTTCAACTCCGTGACGAGGTACAAAAATAAAGTGTTGTAGACTTCCTCGCGTTGTGTGTGTGTTCGTGTGTCTTTTTAGGGGGGTCGTTCGCTTGTTTCCTGGATTTGCTGGGAGTCCCAATCCGTGTATGATGGAATGGATGGGCAGACTCACTTTCCCTGTGCACCACAGCGTATTTTGTCCATGTCCTGCCCGGTGCGCGCGAAATTATCTTGAGCCCGTCCTTCGATGGCTTTTTGAAACAATTTTGTCCATCGACGACTTCTTATGTGTGAGTAGCGTGTGCACGGATTGTTTGTAGCGTTGTTGTGCATGCGGTACATAGATGCACCACAGAAACTAGCGTCTGTTTTAATTTGGAGTGGCTGAAGGCAGAGGGGGAAAAATTGGTCTAGGTTGCAGTCTACATCGATTGCTCTCGCACGATGAGTGCTAATCGTTGCAGATGTGCATGTTGTCATTGTTTGTTGCCTTCTCTTCCTCTCTCTCTTGAGAAGGAGAGTAGAGAGGGCGCAAAGAAACACCAGTGGTGAACAACGGAAAAGTTAAGGTAGAAGTGGTGGGTTGTGTTGTCTTGGCACCCCGAGTACGGTTTGGTTCACGCCTTACACTTACCATTTCGCGACGTCAGGTCAGGTCAGGTGTTGAGGGTGAGGGGTATATTAACCCCTTGGCACATGAGAAACCTAGGAGCGCGTGTAGTGTTCGGTGCGGTGGTGCAGTAGTATTGTAATGCAGTCGATACTTGCTTCGTGTGTTGCTTGTGCGAAACCCTGACAATGGTGTTTTTTTTCTGTATTTACGTATTTTTGGTACGCTGATGACGTTCCCATTCGGGGGGGGGGGGGAAGGCCGAGACTCCGAAGTGCCCTGTGGGTTGGATTTTACCATGTAGTAGCCGAGGGTCTGTACCCGTACGAGTTGTTCAAGCTGCCTGGTACTATCTACCACGCTGAAGTGTGCTTGGGTGTGGTCGCTCAAAGAGCTGCCTTCGCAGCTTTGCAGCGGGTGGTGTCGTTGCGACGTCCACGGTGCGCGGTGCTGCTGCACGTGACGGGTGGCTTGCCTTTGGTTTGCTGTGTTCGCGTGGCTCCGATTCGAGGAGACCGCCGTCCATGTCCCAAGCCTAGACGTATCTTAATTTGGTTGCTGTTAGCATGAGTGTGTTCTTGGACGACTTGTAGCAAGATGAGTCGAGGGTAAGAGGGTACATAATATATTTCTGATACCCTATCGATTCTTGGATTTGCGGTCGCTAGGCCTGTTGCCGTTTGGAGCGAAGACGCGAAGAGAAAAGGCTCGGGCAGTTTTCTGTTTCTACACATTATCTTGGTCTCAGGTGGAAGGAAGGGGGGGGGGGCGCGGGGAGGTGATACCTACCGCGTGGCCCTCCTGACTTCACCATAGTTAAGGTTTGAAGAGACGAAGGAGTTGATTGACGAAGTGTTTGCACTTTCAATGAGATGAGTGAGTAACCATACATTTCCACCCTCCCAAGTCTTCAAAAAATCAACATCTCGCACTATACACTACCGGATTCAAGTGTTGACGTCACACTATTTTGAAAGCATCTCCTCGTCGTTGCATCCCTGTCTACACGTCGAGTGGTAGTAGAAAGTAGTAGGCGATGTGGCAGAAGGAAAATTCGCGTCTGAACGTCCGTTCAGTCTTCAGCGCGGTTCGGCCGTTCGGATTGTGGAGTGCACACGGGTAAGTCACGCCGCCGCCCGCGTGGGAGCGCTCATCACCTGCCGCACAAGTTTCGTGGCGTGAATAGATGGATTTGGCAGCGGGACGCGTTTCGTCGGTGTCGTGCATCAAGCTATCCATCGGTGTGGTAGTGTACACCGTGTATAGATAGCTCCAACTCAGCCCGCTGGGGTGTGGTTGTGTGGTCCCTTCCTGCTACAGCCCGCACCCCCGGGCAGTAGCGAGAACGCCTCTTCCGGACGTGTACCCCCCGCTTCACGGACGGCCGTACACACGAGTCGACATCTGGATAGCTAGCTGCAGCTATCTATGCATAGCATCCGGCGCCTGGAAAAGCTCCTTCATAGCTGGGCCAAGCGACCTTCTTCGCACTCTCCGCGTCTTCTTCTACGGCGCCACCATCATAATCGTGGCGTGGGTAGACGAAGACGGCGATACTGGCCTTCCATCCCCGACGGGATCCCTCGATTATAGACACCCAAATTTCCTCAATCTCTACTACCGTGGTACATCTATCGCCCATCTACCTCTTGATACAAGTGGGCCCACTCGGCGGGATTCTCTTGAGCTCCATCGTCCTGGCCGGGGCGGGCTTGTACAAGGTCACCGCCATGGCAATACCGCACGCGGCGGCGGCGCCGATGACGACTGTGGCCAGGACCCATGCTGCTGGTGCTCGCGACGACAGCAGCACCTCCGAGGACGACGGGCGCGATCGTGGTCGCGCCTCTTCCCGCCTTCTCCCTCCACGGACGGCGATCGAGAGTCGTCCCTCTCGTCCTCACCTACCCTGGGCGAGAGAGAGAGGCCAAACAAACCCAACCACTCAAATAAACGTGCTGTTGGATAAACCGGGTAGGCCGAAGCTTGTAGGTTTGTGGAGAAAGGCAGAGGACTGGAAGCTCGTACTCGCAGGTGTGCCCGCTCCTGTGTTTGGTGGGAAAGGGGGGTTCGCGACAATAAGGCCTGTCCCAACGCTAGGCGAGGGAGCTTGGGGAGACACACGAGGAAGGGCATCGGGACCGAGGGTTANCACCGGCAGCGACTCCACCGGCGGACTGGAAGCTCGTACTCGCAGGTGTGCCCGCTCCTGTGTTTGGTGGGAAAGGGGGGTTCGCAACAACAAGGCCTGTCCCAACGCTAGGCGAGGGAGCTTGGGGAGACACACGAGGGAGGGCATCGGGACCGAGGGTCACAGCACTACCGGTATACGTGGGAGGCAAGCGAGTGGCCCAAAGTGAACATCCTACATCGGAGTAGGCAAAGGAAAGCTGGCCATAGAAGAGATGCACGCCATTCTCATCCAACATAATTCTCTGCCTACGCTGCGTATGGTGGAGAGAAAACAGATTGAATGTGATGCCGGGGACTACGTACACGTCCGACATCTGCACGCAAAAATCGGTCTCGCCCGAAGGGCCGGGCATGTGAAATGCCATGTTGATGCTACCAACACATTGCACGCGCAGATAGGCACCATTCCCTACTTGGATGAACTCTTTTCCTGCTGGGATTGGCTTCATGTCGAACATGTTTNAACAGCCCCCCTGCTCGTATGCATCGTAATGATACGGCAAGGCAACATATATCCACTCACGAACCAAAACGTCGTTCCTATTCGTCCGTGACAAACAATAAACCAAAAACTCGATTATGCAAATATTCCTGAACCAAAAACGTCTCTTAGCACACTACATCCTTCAACTCAGAAAACGCTTTGCTATTGGTCCATCTGCTCTCTCTGCATCTCGTCGCATTTGTATTCGCCATACATTTCATCCCTTACGTCTCAAAGGCATTAAACAACCCATTCATGTTAACATAATTATGGAAGAACTCTTCCATCATTCTTTTCCAAAACAATGATCAATCCTGGATAATCGCCTTCGAAATACTGCAGATGCATACAGTCATCCCCAAATCCTACATGAATACCAAGACAACATGAATTTCGCAAGGGATAAAATATGCATGTTTGATGCTTCCGAACACACAGAATGTACCCAGTTCGCAGATAAAACGCGACCAGGAACGAATGCTACTCTCACAATTCCGATCAAACAATATCCCCAAAACATTCGGTCAACGTCAAGACAACTTCCGCACGTGAAACGCGAATATTTCTTGATTGTAACACTCCAGAAACCAAACATCACCTTTCCGCTCCTCCTCCTGAAAGGATAGTGTGCCCCTCTTCTCGGGGGGATCTGCCCCCCTGATTTGAGAAGGGGTTGGAGTCAGAAACACAGACCAAAATAACACATTCAAAGTCCATCCAGTCGAAAGCTCAAGAAAAAACAATATTTATGCAAATCCGAAAAGTTAATACCAAAACCAAATCAAAATCCATTACCAAGCAGTTCCAGTCCGAAAGTCCAGACCAAATCAAAAACCAAAACCAAAATCCAATACCAAAACAAAGACAACATCAACACAAAATCCAATCTAATACCAAAACAAAACAATACTCGAAACCCCTACATTTGCCGGCGCATCATCAAGCTCCAGCGCTTAATAACCCATTGCCCAAGCCATTGTTTTCCCCCC